CCCCTTGCTGGCTGTAGACCACCCCTTGCTTGCTGTAGACCACCCCTTGCTTGCTGTAGACCACCCCTTGCTTGCTGTAGACCACCCCTTGCTTGCTGTAGACCACCCTTTGCTTGCTGTAGACCACCCCTTGCTTGCTGTAGACCACCCTTTGCTTGCTGTAGACCACCCCTTGCTTGCTGTAGACCACCCTTTGCTTGCTGTAGATCACCCCTTGCTTGCTGTAGACCACCCTTTGCTTGCTGTAGACCACCCTTTGCTTGCTGTAGATCACACTTTACTCACTAAGCATCCTAGATATTTACAGGTGCTGAAATGCTGATAAATATCATAATATTTTTAAATAATTTAAAAAAAAAACGGCTTTTAAAAACGAAATAATCTCACAGATATCTGAACGAGGGACTTTGAGCAGCCAAAAAAAACCACCCCTTAATCATAAACAAACAGTTTAGCGTCCCGCAAACTACGTAGCCAAAACTAAAATAGTTCATCTTTGCACGTGTAAAGTAAAAAAAAGAGTAAATAAATAAAACGGTAATCTAAAGACTAATGTAATAATTTGGACATAGAACGCCTTTTTGTTGCTACAATTGTCCGTGGTCAAGAAAGTCGTATTGATTAGAAACGTTGTAGAAAGTTGTATTGTAAGAATAACATAATTTAATCGAACATACGACTACAGCATACGGTCTTTAATTTACAGGATGTTGATTCAAATACAACAGAAAGTTTAAATAACTCGTATTGAAATACACAAGACAGTACAAATAACGCTGATATTGAAATACATCAGACAGTACAAATAACGCTGACTTTGAAATACACCAGACAGTACAAATAAAGCTGATATTGAAATACACCAGACAGTACAAATAAAGCTGATATTGAAATACACCAGACAGTACACATAAAACTGATATTGAAATACACAAGACAGCAAAAATAACGCTGATATTGAAATACACAAGACAGTACAAATAACGCTGATATTGAAATACACCAGACAGTACAAATAAGGCTGACATTGAAATACACCAGACACTACAAATAAAGCTGATATTGAAATACACCAGACACTACAAATAAAGCTGATATTGAAATACACCAGACAGTACAAATAACGCTGACATTGAAATACACCAGACACTACAAATAAAGCTGATATTGAAATACACCAGACAGTAAAAATAACGCTGATATTGAAATACACAAGACAGTACCAAAAAAACACGCTGATATTGAAATACACAAGACAGTACCAAAAAAACACGCTGATATTGAAATACACAAGACAGTACCAAAAAAACACGCTGATATTGAAATACACAAGACAGTACCAAAAAAAACACGCTGATATTGAAATACACAAGACAGTACCAAAAAAACACGCTGATATTGAAATACACAAGACAGTACCAAAAAAACACGCTGATATTGAAATACACAAGACAGTACCAAAAAAACACGCTGATATTGAAATACACAAGACGGAACAAATAACACTGATCGAAATGAAGCCATTATAAACGGATAGGGATTCGAGCATACTGTGTGCCCACAGAAATATAATTGGCTCAAAAGAGAAACCTGACGAATACGATTTGTGTCCCATGTTCTGGTAACGTCCGAATTCCCCCGTGGTTCCTTTGTCCACTATCTCAACACGCTGTATTGTTTATATTTTAAAGGACAAATATTTAGTAAAGAACCTCGCGGCTAATGTCAGGGCTTTTCCGATGGTTTGTACACTAACCGGATCAGTGGTTCTGCACATACGTATGGACTTATCACTAAACTTTCTAAATTATAAATTGTGTTTAAACAGCTAGCCTCTATCTTTCGGTAGAAAATTTGCATACATCCTAGTAATGATTATCAGATGTGTAGTGAATCAATTAATTCATATATTTTTTAGCTCACTGGAATAAAAAAATTATTGAGAATCACTGCATAATTTAAACAATAAACTTTTCATATAAAAAAAAAAAAACAGAAAGAAACTATGGGACAAATTTAAGTAATACATGAAGTGCAAAAGCTCCTTAAAGAAAGATAGAAATTAGATGGACAGTTCTCTTCTAGATCTCAGCTTAGAGAGGTTGTGTAAAAATAATAATTTTCTAGTTATAGAAGTAAAAAAAAAAAGATTAATTGAAAACCGAAAAAAAAAAATCTTTGATATTTGATCTGAACATAAGATGGAAATACAGAGCTTTTCATCATTCACTGGGGTTGTGGTATTTTTGCTGAACCTCACTGTCATGAACAGCTCTTGTCCTAGAGCAACGAGAAGGAAAACGTTCTACAGTGTTGAAAACAGAAGTCTTGGAATTAAATTACTTGGCGGCGGATTGACATCGGATTCCAAGGCCATTTGTGCGTCCGAATGTCGATCAAAGTATCCTGCCACCTGTCAATCCTTCATTTACGACCCTGTGACCAAACAGTGCTTACCTGGAGGTGAGCTCGGCCCATCGGAGACCAAACCAGAAACTGGTCAACTGATTTACTCAAACTGTGATTTATCCCTGGGATATTCTTACTCTATCCTAACCCAATTCGGTTACTGTGTTTCCACAGTATCAGTTCCGGCTTATTTCGCAACAGCTGAAACTTTTTGTCAAAATATTAGCGGCCGTCTCATGATAGTTGACAACTTAGAAAAATTTCAGTTTTTTGACAGCTACACGGCAGCACACAATTTGACCCACACATGGATAGGATTGGACGACAGGGCAGCTGAAGGCACCTACATGTGGTCTGACCAAACACAAGCCAACACTTCAGAAATTTTAACACTTTTCCTTGCCGGAGAACCAAACGATAACAGAGGCAACGAAGACTGTTGTGAGTTTTTGCGTAAATCTGCATCAGCAGTCGGTCTCAACGATTTGCCGTGCAACAGATCCATTTCGTTCATCTGTGAATATGTCGTTTAGGACGTCAAGGTGTCATAATAATTCAGCCCGTTCACGTGTCAAAAATTTTTAGGACGTCACATTGTCACAATGTTTTATGACACCAACCTGTCCAAATGTTTTAAAACGTCCGTGTGTTATAAATTTTTGGAACGTCAAATTGACACAATGTTTTAGGACGTCAAGGTGTCACTATGTTTTAGTATGTCAAGGTGTCATAATTTTTAGGACGTCAATGAGTCACAGTGTTTTAGGACGTCAAGGTGTCACAATGTTTTAGGACGCCAAGGTGTCACTATGTTTTAGGACGTCAAGGTGTCACAATGTTTTAGGACGTCAAGGTGTCACTATGTTTTAGGACGTCAAGGTGTCATAATGTTTTAGGACATCAATGAGTCACAGTGTTTTAGGACGTCAAGGTGTCATAATGTTTTAGGACATCACTGAGTCAAAATGTTTAGGACATCAAGGTGTCACAGTGTTTTAGGACGTCAAAGTGTCATACTGTTGTCATAATGTTTTAGGACGTCAATGAGTCACAATGTTTAGGACATCAAGGTGTCACAGTGTTTTAGGACGTCAAGGTGTCATAATGTTGTCATAATGTTTTTGGACGTCAATGAGTCACAATGTTTAGGACATCAAGGTGTCACAGTGTTTTAGGACGTTAAGGTGTCACAATATTTAAGGTGTCATAATGTTTAGGACATCAATGTGTTACAATGTTTAGGACGTCAATGTGTTACAGTGTATTAGGACATCAATGTGTTACAATATATTAGGACGTCAATAAATAACGATGTTTTTGGACGTCAGTGTCATATTTTTGGACGAATATTTCACAATGTTCTATGTCATAAATGTCTCACAATGTTTTAGGAAGTCAATGTTGTTACGATGTTTTATGACATCAATGTGTCACAATGTCTTATGACGTCTCTGTGTGTTAAATTTTTAGGACTTCAAAGGTCACACTCTTTTAAGTCGTCAATGTGTTACAATAATGTAGGACTTCAGGTTTTAAGTTTAAAGATTTCAGAAAATTGATCTTTAAACATGTGAATGATTTTTTTAAAAAATCATGTTTTTAATTGTGATTTTGCACCTTTTGGACAATTTTATAAACATTTGGTAGTATTTTTTCCATTACAATATTCAAATGAATAGACTTTTATTTTTATTTATTCAGAAAACAAAAGCTATTCACTATTTACTTTTGGTCATTTCAAAAAAAAAAATAAAAAAATAAACCAATAAACTTTCATGTGAGTGTCGTAGCATTTTTAATTAACGAAACAATGTTTTCAAGGAAGATTTAAAAAAAATTATAAAATAAATTTTCATCACCAGCAACTAATTAATTTAATTACTAACTGGACCCTTATACGAAAGACAACACGTGTCATACTAAAACCCTTGTCTTTACCACCGAAAGAGGACGTAGCATGTCAGATAAGAAAATAACATTTTGTCCGAGCATGATACCTCCCCATACATTTTCTGATACACTGATATCCCCTTGAGTATTATCGGATCTTTTTTTTTCTACTCACCAAAACTAAAACTTAGAAAATGTTGTTTTTTTTTTTTTTAAATTTTAAACAATTATAAAGAAATATGTAAATGTAATGAGCAGATAATCTTCGAAGTGGATTGCTACCTTCGGATTTTAAGTGTCTCCATATAAGTTACTGGAAATAATATTTTAAATTATTTTTTTTAAGCTAATTGACCTGACGAATACATTCAGCAATACCTAAAGATGTATTTAAATTGATAATGAGAGTGAGAGTCAAAATGGTATGGATATGCGTAGAAATTTAAAATAAATAAATAGATATACTATAAAGCTGATACTCACACAATTTATGATTTTTCAAGATATTTATGAATTGAAAAAAAAATGATTCTATAAAACTATTTATTCTAGACTAAAAGTTTTATAACTAATTTAATTTAATTTTGTCTAAAGCAGTGGTTCTTAACCAGGGCTCGATCAAACCCAAGGGGCTCAGTGAGTCAGTCACAGAGGTCCAAAAAAAATTTGAAAAAAAATCTAATTAATTTTTTTATATTATGAAGGGTTCGGTGAATGAAACTGGTGGGGTGCGGTACCTCCAAAAATGTTAAGAACCACTGGTCTAAAGAGATAATTGGAAAAATGAATATCACTCTGCTATTCACTAAAAAATAAACAAACTTATTATTTTTATTTGTGTGTGTGTGGTTCAGATTACTAAATGATATGCTCAATGCAATTTTTAAATGATCGTATTCCATTTAAAATTGACTTGCCGGATAGAACAAGAACAACTCATTTGAACAATACAGCTCAAGAAAGTGGTGGCTGATGGCGTGAACGAGACAGTAGTTAGATTTAACCAGTTCTCACCGGTCCGGCGGTATGAACGATGGCAAATACCAACATATTACGACATGATTCTGGTGTCCCCTAGCGTGCATGGTCCACATAGCATGTTAGCAATATTTTGTCCTAATGATAGATCTATGATAGCTTCAGATTTTAGGCCTATTGCCGACAATTTCAATACTCTTAAGGTAGGCATGGCGCCACTTGTTCTATTGCTACCCTGCCACTGAGCTCAGACAGAACATTATTAATCCTGCCGGTGTGCTACACTGCAAGTTAAAGGAGCATAGTTCTTGAAGAGGTGTGACTCGGGTCCTTCTGGAATCATGAGAATGAATAAAAGTTCTAAAAAAATAAGTAACAAAAAAACAAACAAGAATTCTTCACTCAACCATTTCATTTTTAGTTGATCGGTTTCTTTCGAATGGACAAGTTTATATTTGTTTTTGTTCTTGTAAAATATTTATTTGTGTGTTCAGGAAATTTGTAAAATTATAGAAAATGTCCAAATAGAATTTTGCATTACATCACACAATGTTAAACTTCATTCACTAGGCTAAATGTATCAGAAAAAACATGTTATGTATAATGGTTTATGCGGCCCGCTGGAAGCGGGCGGTCCATCACATACATTTTTGGGACCCGCCAGAAGGCCGGTTTTAAATTCATAAATATTATGCAAAAATCACTTCTAAAACTTAGAGTAACTTGCCCCAATGCAACCACGAGTCAACTCTTTCTCACAACTTTTTAATGATCGGAGAAAAAAAAAAATTATTGGTTGCTTAGAGGGCACCAAGTGAAATCACTGACTTGGCAGTGTTTAGGAGATGTTCTAGCAGATAACTAGCATAATTATAGGGAAAAATGCTTACGTCTGAGTAGCCCCTTAAGCAACCACCTGCCCGCCCTGCAACCAATGATTTGCCCTAAGTGCAACCACCTGACCACAGTGCAACCACAAAGGTGCCCTCACTGAAACCAGTTGTGATTTAAAGCTAAGGATCTCCCAATACACTCACACAGATACACACATAAAAACATACATAAATGTGACACATATAGACTAGACTACAACATTAAAACAAATAACTCATGCATTTTTTCATGACATTCATGGTTGATTTTTATTTAATTCTAACTAATAAAAAAAATTGCATTCTGAAATAGACTCTAGTCTAGACTAGTCTAGTCTAAATCTAGATCTAAATCCTCAAAATCATCTTCCGACTCGTCATCGAAAATCATTTGAGACTCATCAATGCTTGTATCTGTTTCAGAATCATCCATTTTGTTTGTCTTTCTCTTCTTCGGCCCTTTCCCTTTTGAATTGTCTTTCAGCTGTCTTTTCTCTTCCAGTTTCCTCTTTCTGTCTTCTTTTCGCCTTTGGTTTTCTTCCTCCCTCTGTCTTTTTTGTTCTTCTCGTAATTTTATTTTCTCTTCCTTTCTTTTTGCTTTCTCTTCTATAGCCTTTAATTTCTCTTGTTTCTTTTTTTCTAGGTCTATTTTCAAATCATTGCAAATTTTTTTAAATTTGAAGCAATGTCAGATGAAGCATCGGGGCAGGTGCTTGTGCCAGCAATACATGGGGGTTCTGCTTCTGATGAACTAGAAGGCACTGGTACAGGGGCTGGTATATGGTCGTCTGACAGAGAGGCTCGTAAATGTGGGGCTGGTGTAGAACTAGATGGGTTTTGTGGAGAGGGCATAATTGTGATAGTGGCATCTGAGAGAGATAGCAAAGCTGGTGTGTCTTGTCCGGCTGCAGGCTGATGTTGGGGTGTGGCTGCCCCGTCAGGCACAGTATGTGTCTGATTTCCCACTTCCATGGACATGCTGGGCAGTACTTTCTGCCAGTTAATGTTTGTTGGATCTAATGGGTATAACCCACTGATTTTAAATGCTTGTTGCGCAAGACTTTTCTGCACTGTTGCCTGGTAAGCTTCTTTAAATACATTTGCAAATGTACGTTTCGTTATAATCTCAGCTTCATTTTGTTTTTTCACAGCCTTCCGCCATTCTGCCTTCATTGTTTTGAAAATGCCCACATCTAAGGGCTGCATGATGTGAGATGAATGGGCAGGCAGGGCATAGAGAATAATGTTGTTCTCTTTGCACAGAGTGGCAGCCTGGATTGACTGGTGACTTATGTGGCCATCAACTAAAAGAAGAATCGGCTTTTTTAGCTGTGCTGTTTGGGGAAGAAAAACCTGCTCCAGCCAATCAGCAAATATGGTCTGATTGGTCCATCCATTTGTTGATTTTGTAATGAAGCACTCCTCAAATACTTCATTTGGCTTAAAGCCACGGAATTGAGTACCAGGGTATATAAGCATTGGCCACACATAGTCCCCTATGGCATTGCAGCAAACAAGTGCAGTGATCATTGTTTTTTGCTCACTACCTAGCTGGTAAACAAATTTCGTTCCCATGAACGTTAAAACCTTTCCGGTCCCAGAATCAAGGCTGAACCCTGATTCGTCGCAGTTAAAAATTCGATTGGGCTCAAGGAATATCGAGGCATCTATGTCTTTGACTGTTGCAGTTAATTGATCAAACCATTTGATGAGGGATTCCTTTGTTACAGCAGCCCGTTGTTTCCCAAGTTTTTGAGCTGTGCGTAGGACTATTTGTGGATATCTCATTTTAA